GAGCTTCCAGCAATTTGTCAGGCTTTCCTACCCTGGCACTGGTTCCTGGGGTGGTTTCTACTTATGAGTCTCTGCTCTGGTGAGCGATTACTCCCTATATTTACCTGTCTTTCTCTTTAATCTTAGGGGCAGTGGTTTGGCCTGCATTCACCCTTGTCCTATGGATCTAGGAAGAGATACTGGTTTTTAGTCTGTTCAGCTTTTTCATTGTTAGGATAGCGTGGCACCTTTCAGGCTCCTTACATGTGGAAGTGGATAACTGCTATTTCTCTTTTTATGCCTGCTAACACATCAGTGTGCCTTGGTTCTCTTTTTTGAAAAATGCAGGTGAAGTATATATTACTAAATAAAGATGTTAGGCTAGTAAAAAAAAATAGAAGTAAAGAATTCTAAGCCTCTCTACAGACCAAGAGAAACAACATACTTTGCCCACAGCCCTGATCTATCTAATGACTATCTTTAAAAAAGATATTTTATGATTGTGAAAAGGAATATGAAGACTGAAGAGTAGCTCCTGGATTTGGCAACAGTAGGCCTTGGGTGAACTTGGCAACATCTGTCTCAGTAGAAGCTTGACCACAGTGGGTTGAGAACTGAGCAGGATGTGAAGGACTGGCCAGAAAAAGTAAAGGTAACTCAAGTGGTTTGGCTTGTGAAGGAAAGGAGGGTTTTGTTGTTATGACTGGTTTTGTTGTTATTATATAATTTGAAGATAGGAAAGGATTGAATTGGTATGAAACTAATACAACTAAATCTAGTAGTTCTTAGCACATAGCACATATATAGGTCACATATTTATATATAGTAAAATATTATTAAAAATACCAGAGTATATCATGCATAGTTTTCTTTTTAAATCATTTTATACTCTTACTAAATATCTTATTTCATGAAAATTGCTTTTCAGTTATTTATACATGAGTGAATATTGGTTCATGATTATTAAAGAGGTTTCAAAAATTTGAAAGCCTCTGATTAGAGGACAAGAAGGCATTAATATCCTTGATGGAATGAGAAACAACTCTTAGGCTAAGGAGAGAGAAAAGGATGAGGTAAATCTAGGTGAGTTTGGAGGTTTTGATGGTAGGGAGCTGAGGGACTTTGAAGGATAGTGAGGTTTTGCGAGGGAGAGATTAGGCTGGCCGAGGTAGGAAGAGGAGGATGTCCAGCCAGGGAATCTGTATGAACAAAGGCATGACTATGAAATGAAAGACTATTTGAGATGTGGTAAGTAATCCACCTGACTGAAAGGCAACTCCCATTATTGAAGCTGCCTTTGCATTTTCCATTCTAACCAGCTTCCTGACATTTCTACCATTGCCCATCCCAATTTAGGCCTTTATTATTTCTCGCCTGGAATAGTTTCATAACCAGTTTCTCAGTACCCAAATTTCTTTTACTTGCTAGTGCCAGTTGATCTGATATATTACTGCTGCATTTTTTTTGCCCCTCCACCCCCACTTAAAATTAAAAAAACAACCTTGATATTCTCTATTACCCTGCTACCCATTACATGTGATAGATAATCTTTTTTTGTACCAGTGGATGCCTTTTGGAGAGTAGAGGGAGAGTAGTCTGGAAATGCAGACTGGGGGCCTATTCTGGATTTCTTTTTGTTTGTTTGTTTTTAATGTTTATTTTTGAAAGAGAGAGAGAGAGAGTCAGAGTACAGTGGGAGAGTCAGAGAGAAGGAGTCACAGAATCTGAAGCAGGTTCCAGGCTCTGAGCTGTCAGCACAGAGCCTGATATAGGGCTCGAACCCACAAACCATGAGGTCATGGCCTGAGCTGAAGTCAGACGCTTAACCGACTGAGCCACCCAGGTGCCCCCTGGATTTCTTGAACTCTAGAATGGGGATTCTCTGTTTGGGGATTCCCAAGACTGCTTCTAGGTTTGATGACTTGCTAGGAGAATTCACAAGACTCAGCATGTAGTTGTACTCATGACAGCAAAAGGATACAAACAAAGGGGAAAGGCACATGGGACAAAATCTGGAAGAAATTAGGTGCAAGCTTCCAAAAGTCTTCTCCCAGTGGAGTCACATAAGACATGCTTAGTTTCTCCAGTAATAAACTGTGCCAACAGATGTGAAATGTCTGTTAGGGAAGCTCCTTAGAGACTCAGTGCCTAGGGTGAGGTGAGGGCGGTCACATAGCTACTTTCTGCTTAGCATGTACCAAGATTCTAGACGTGTAGAGGGAAACTAGGTGTTCAGCATAAACCGTGTTGCTTGTACATGGTATAAACAGTTCAGGCACAGTGAGTCACTCTTTCCATTTCTGGAAATGTTGGGAACCCTCTTGGAATCCAAGTTCCCAGCCAATGGCCCACCGTGCATGCAGACCTTTCCAAGGACAGTAATCTCAGGCCTGCTGTGCCAACTCTTTTCTGTACTTAATGTGATTCTATAAGCTGGACAAGTGGTTTCAGGGGCTGCTTTGGGAATGGGGGTGGTACAGTTGTGGAAATTAGGGAGATATGAAGAGGGTGGGATTTTGTGCCCCCCTCCCACTTTTCTTTTTAATAAATTTAGGATTCCATGGAAGATTTTATATATTTAAACAAAGGTGCTGCTGTTAAAATTATGTTTGAAAACCATCCTTTAAACAGTGAGATGAATTTCAAGAAAAATATTGATAAAATCACATTGGGATTTTAGCAAGATCATTTCCGTAGTTGATGGAAGATAATTTAGAGATGGTGGTAAATTTGGGGGCAGTGGAGGTGATCAGAGGCAGGGAGGCCAAGCCAGAGACCATGAGAGCCCCAGCTAGGGTGGTGGTATGAGGAAGAGTGGGAGGGAATGGCCTAGAGTATTTCCTATATAAAATGAGTAGTATTGATGGATGATTGGCTGAGGACCTGGTTGAAGAGCGAGACAGAAGTTTATTATTCTTTTCCATAAAAATCCAATAGGTGGTCCAGAGCTGGTTTGGCAGCTCAGCGTTGTTGGAGAACTTTGCTCTGCTTTGCTCAGCATTCTGTGGGCCTCTCCTTGCCAGGTTGGCTTTTTCAGCTGCAGTCGCTATACTTACATTGCAGTTAGAAGAAGGAGTGGGCGAGGAGGAAGGGCTTGCCCTTTCTCTGTAAGGGCATGTACCAGAGCTGCATGTTTCAGGTGATATCCCATTGTTTAGAACTGGTCATACGGCCGTGCCTGGCTGCTTGAGGGGCCAGAAATGGGTTATTAAGCTGGGCAGCCTTCTACACAGCTAAAACTTTTATTCAGAAAGGAAGAAGACAGCCCTGCACTGTCCCCAACATTCATGGTTTATTTAGAATTTTTTTCTCTCTTGGGAAAAAGATGGAAATAACCTTGACTATTAAGTTTTTTCCCCAAGGTAAGTAATTTTCATGTTATTGAAACAAAGGAAACATGGTATTCAGTGAAACAAGAATAATACTTGCAGTGTATCTTTGCAAAAGTTTTGTTGGACTCAAAGATGGGAACCAGCCTTATCTAAAAATGTGCCAGTTTGCTGCTGTTTATTGTTGCTTTTACAAAATAGGGAGAGAGATATCTAGTCAATAATATTATAACTTTGTATGGTGACTACACTTATTGTGGTGAGCATTGCACAGGGTACAGAATTGTTGTCTACTTGAAGCTAATGTAACATTGTATCTCAACTATACTTCAATAAAAGAATAAATAAAATAAAAATAGGGAATTTCTGCTCATTGAACCTGCCCCAGATAAGGAATAGTTATGATTGATCTTGCCACAGCCAATCATTTCTCTTCCAGGAGAAGCTAAAAAAAGGATCAGAAAAGCTCACTGCTTTGAAATAGACACTCTATTGTGTTTCAGCTCTTTATGTCCAACTTAAAAGTTGTGGAAAAGGGAAGGAAACTTATAAGCAGAGGGCTGACATCAATGTGGCAATATCTGAATGCTGTGTGTTTTTGGAGAATAAAGAATAAAGGGCCAGTAGAAAACCCTTTGTGACTAGTCTCTGTGTCTCTGGTACTTAAGAGCCACAATTAGGCCTAATTCAGAGGGGCCAGCCCTGCTGTGGGGAAGGATCTGATGAACCCAAGTGACTTATTTAATGGCGTAGAGACAAAGCAGGGACTCTGTGGCAGGTTAAGTTTTCTAGAAGAGAGGTTACAGTGATACTTTATGGGGTTTGGAGTTTATTCCTTTTTATTTTATTAAAAAATTTTTCTAATGTTAATTTTTTTTTATAGTTTTTTTGTTTGTTTGTTTTATTTATTTCTAGGAGAGAGAGAGACAGCGTGAACAGGGGAGGGTCAGAGAGAGAGGGAGTCACAGACTGAAACAGGCTCCAGGCTCTGAGCTGGCAGTCAGCACAGAGCCCGACGCGGGGCTCGAACCCACGAACCGCGAGATCATGACCTAAGTGAAAGTCGGATGCTTAACCGACTAAGCCACCCAGGTGCCCCTCTAATGTTAGTTTTTGAGAGAGGGAGAGGCAAGAGTGCGAGTGGGGGCAGGGCAGAGACAGAGGGAGACACAGAATCCGAAGCAGGCTCCAGGCTCCAAGCTGTCAGCCCAGAGCTAGATGTAGGGCTTGAACCCACGTACCGTGAGGTCACAACCTGAGCCAAAGTTGGACGCTTAACTGACTGAGCCACCCAGGCGTCCCTATTTTATTTTTTTAATGTTTGTTTATTTTGAGAGAAGGAGTGTGATCTGGGAAGGGGCAGAGAGAGAGGGAGAGAAAGAATCCCAAGCGCACTCTGCACTGACACTGCAGGGGCCTGATCTTGCAAACCATGATATCATGACCTGAGCCAAAATGAAGAGTTGGACACTTAACTGACTGAGCATCTCAGGTGCCCCTACTCCTTTTTATTAAAAGGAGATGATTATATTTATTGAACATAATGTGTTTTATTTTCATCAAAAAGAGATTTACAATAACTGCTCACATATACATGCTTGTAACTGAAAGGTTTTAATGGGACCATTAAGAAACATGTGGAGTACTATTAAATACCTTCCTCTAAGAAAGTCTATATATTTTTGTTTATAGCCTATACAGTTCAAGCAACTGAGATTATGTCTCCAACTGCGGCTACAGAGGTTTATTCAAAAGCTTTGGCTGTTTGCCATGGACCACTGGACCACTATGACTTTCTGATCAAAGCTCATGAGCTAAAGGATGATGAACATCAAAGAAGAGTCATACAGTGTTTGCAGAAATTACATGAGGACCTTAAAGGATATAGTATAGAGACAGGAGGCCTGTTTTCAAAGGTAAGGTTTGTATGATATTAAAGACCGGTTAAAAGTGAAGGCATTTTATAAAATGGATTAAGTGCAGTTGGTACAATCATGAAACCGCTTCAAGATGTCTCACCAGTTCCTTTATTTTTTTTTATTTTATTTTTATTTTTTTTCACCAGTTCCTTTAAACAAGCTCTATTGGATCTCTATTCCCGATCTCTTGATGCTCCATAGCTTTCTTTTACCTTTGTGGGGGATTCAGATGGCTTCATATTTAGGTAATGACCGACGTAGTCTAGTCCAAATGACAGCTGTGGAATTCAAAAACTTGCCCTGTCTTTAGCTCAGGCCTGTCCCAGGATCAGCAGTGCAGAAGGTGGAGTGATTTGTTCTTTCCCTTTCTCTCCTTCTCCCCCTCCTCCTTTCTCTGCTTGCCTGGCTTCTCCAGGGTCAGGATGAGAAGGATGGAAGATTAGAGCGAAACAGCGGAGTCTTAAGTGACCTGTTAAGAGCCTTTGGTGTGGTAGACACTGACATGCTAGCTCTTTGTTGAGGGGCACAATGGTGAGTTCTTTTGGACCCTGGGAGAACTTCCCCACTGCTCCATTTTTGGACCTCTTAGGACTCTAGTTGAACACCTTGCACCACTGCTTTCTGCTGGCTCCCCTTGCCTTTTCACTTAACTTTCTTTTTTTTTTTTTAATGTTTTTTTTTTTTTATTTTTTTTATTTTTAGGAGAGAGAGAGACAGAGAGTGAGCAGGAGAGGGGCAGAGAGAAAGAAAGGGAGACAGAGAAACCAAAGCAAACTGCTCTGAGCTGGCAGTCAGCACAGAGCCCGACGCGGGGCTCGAACCCACGAACCGCGAGATCATGACCTAAGTGAAAGTCGGACGCTCAACCGACTAAGCCACCCAGGCGCCCCTTCACTTAACTTTCTTGTCCTTTCAGGACAGCTCTAGCCAGGACACCCTTTATGGTGTCCACTTAGGTCACATCTCCTTTCTCTAATCCATACTCCAGCTTCAGTCAGCCTCCTGGGAACACGTGTCAGGTACTTCCACAAACACTTCCATAGCCTGCTTTGGTAACTGCCTGTGGATTTCCTCACCTCAACAAGCATCCGACTGGGGAGGGGGATGTCCATTTTGTCATACGCTCAATCCTAGTCTTTTTGGATATTTCTCTTAGGGACCACCTCTCTTAGCATGAGGTTAGTCTGGGGGAGATGGATGCCACAGCATTCCTTACTTAGCTAATAGCTTTCCACCTTGATTACTTTCTTTGGTTCCACTTTGTTTTTAGGGAGATTTTTGCCTTTTGTTTTTATTTTTAAAGTAATTCCTGCACGGATATGACTAATACTCTCTTTAGAATGTAGGGGAAACTTGCTTCTCCTTATCCTTAGCTTTGAACTTTTGCAGAAATTCTGAGCCAACAGGAAAACTCCCATTCCTTATCCCATTATAATGTTTATTTTTGAGAGAGAGATAGAGACAGAGCATGAGCAGGGGAGGGGCAGAGAGAGAGAGAGAGGGAAAGAGAGAGAAAGACAGGGAGACAGGGAGGGAGGGAGGGAGGGAGGGAGGGAGAGAGGGAGAGGGAGAGGGGAGAGAGAGAGAGAGAGAGAGAGAGAGAGAGAGAAAGGAGACAGAGAGAGAATCCCAAGCAGTCTGAGCCATCATCCTGGAGCCTGATGCAGGCTAGATCTCATGAACTGCGAGATCATGACTTGAGCTGAAGTCTTCGACGCTTAAACAACTGAGGCACCCAGGTACCCCTCCTTATCCCATTATAGAAGCCATTGTCATCAGCAGTGTCATCTTCAAATTATGAGAGATATTAATAGTAACAAGAATTAGAATATGGTTCAGAGAAACTAGTTTTCTTTTAATTAACTGGCCAAACCATCTTTCCCCCACCAACACAATTATTCTGTTTTTATAAGGCCTTTAGCGAAAAGGTTCTGTATTACATACGTTAGTAGTACTTTATTTAAAAACTCTAGAGGTGTCTGGGTGGTGAAGTTGGTTAAGCATCTGACTCTTGATCTCGGCTCAGGTCATGATCTCATGGTTTGTGAGTTTGAGCCCTGCATCAGGCTCTGTGCTAATGGTGGAGAGCTTGCTTTGGATTCTGTCTCTCCTTCTCTCTGCCCCTCCCCTGCTTGTGGACACACACACACACACACACACACACACACCTCTCTCTCTCAAATAAATTTTTAAAAACCTGTAATCAAAGTAATTTTACTTAAAAAAATCTTTAGCGTATACTTAGTTTTATTTTTATGGAAAGAAAAAGGCTGCCATTGTGTGAATATCTTTTGGTTAAATGGGGAAGGGATTCATTTAGGTTACAGAGAGAAATAGAGATTTAGAGTAAGACTACATATGCAAATAACAATGAAGGGCATCTCCACTGTACAGCCAGGCCTCAGCGGGCTTTGCATCAGTGGCTCTGAAAGCCACTGGTGGCTTGACTGGCAGTGGTAGCCGGTACTTGCCGAGTCTTTCTCCAGTGCTCTGCCATTCATGTCATTCACTTACTTTGTTGTTCCTTTTCCCATGTCCATTCCATTTCTGTTTGTTCTCTCAGCTTATTAATTCTCTTCCTGTATCAGTGGTTTAAATTCCTGATTAAGTACCTGATAGGACATCCAATCACATTATCCCTGTTTGGGCAGAGCTTTCACACCAGGTTTTTCAGAGGCCACTAGCCAGATCTTATACAGATCAGATCTCTGCATAAGGTACCATCCAGGGCTCCTGTGAGCATGGTGGTTCCCCCTCTAGAAGTAGACTGTGAGTGTGGTGGCCACTGTGGCCAGTCCAGCACACCGGTTATAGGAAGTAATAATGAGTTATCCCTTTAGATGGCCACCCCTTCTTTTTCCAATATTTTCCAAAAATTTATAGGTGAGTAAAGAACCAAAAAGTTTGGAAAATGTAGACTGCTTTATGTACTGTGTACCTAATTATAGTTTGTAATACAGATGGTCTTCTAAATAAAATATTGGCATCGTTTTGTGTCATAGCCAGGAAATAGGATGTTTTACTTAACTGGGTTTTTGGTTATCTGAGAGTTAAATTGCTTTCATGAATGTTCTACTTTGTTCTCTTTCTAGTCCTCCCTCTCCCTTTTAGAAATACAGTCCTTTTTTTCCCCCTCTTCTTCATTCTGTATCATCCTTAGGGTTCATTTTACTGTGACTGGTGAACTCACATCTAGTAAAAAGTATCCTTTAAAATCATTAATGTATCTGGTTGCCAATTCAACATGGTTTTGTTTTTTCTTTTAATTGTTGTTTGGCTCTTTTTTGGGGTATTCTCCCACACTTTCTCTTTTGATTTCTGAATTGGCAGTGATGGGTCTGCCTAGTAAATTGACAGCTATTTAGCAGTAAGTAAATGTAATATTTAGTATATAGGATTCCTGGTTTTAAGGTGTAGTTGTAATCTAATAGAAGTAAGAGATTAGACATCTTGGGTAGTTTTAAACATGTCTGCTGAAAGCTTGTATTTGTTAAATCCTAATGCTACCATGAATAAGTCTTTTGTGGACAGATCAACATCTCATTGTGGTTGTATTTGTCCTGTAGTTTCTTAAGCTTGCCAAATCTTTAACGTTGAAAAAGACCCAAACATCTAATATAATTAGAATAAAACATATATAAAAGCTTTAGTTTTTTTTTTTTTTTTTAAGAGCTAGAAGTTTATTGAATAGAGGAGAGGGAAGGGGTCCTTCACCCTCAGACCTTCCAGACCACACCAGGGAGCTGCCCTGGCCAGAGACCTTCAGTCGTCCGAGGAGTACTAGGGTTAGATCACTGAAGATCCGAAGAGAGAAAGGAGAGGGAGGGAAGGATCCCTCCGAAGGGCAAGAGAGGAAATCCCTGATGGTTCCCTCTGGGGCATTGGATCCTTCACTGAGGAGTAGCATCAGCCTGAGGGCCAGTTTTTAAAGACAGTATTTGTCTTTTTCTGACTGACTTATTTGATTTCGCATAATACACTCTAGCTCCATCAAGATTTCATTCTTTTTTTATGGCTGAGTAATGTTCTAGTGTGTGTGTGTATATATATATATATCTTCTTTATCCATTCATCAGTTGAGGCACATTTGGGCTCATCAAGTTGCAAGTATCCCTTTGAATCAGTATTTTTGTATCCTTTGGGTAAATACCTACTAGTGCAATTGCTGAGTCATAGAGTAGTTCTATCTTTAACTTTTTGAGGAACCTTCATACTACTTTCCAGAGTGACTGCACCAGTTTTCACTACCACCAACAGTGTAAGAGGGTTCCCCTTTCTCAGCATCTTACAACACTTGTTTCTTGTGTGTTAATTTTAGCTGTTCTGACAGGTGTAAGGTAGTATATCACTGTGGTTTGATTTCTATTTCCCTGATGATGAGTGATCTTTTCATGTGTATGTTAGCCATCTGTATGTCTTTTATGGACAAATGTCTATTTATGTCTTCTGCCCATTTCTTAACTGGATTATTTGTTTTTTGGTTTTTTTTTTTTATTTTAAAAAAAAATTTTTTTTTAATGTTTTATTTATTTCTAGGAGAGAGACAGCATGAGTAGGGGAGGGTCAGAGAGAGAGGGAGTCACAGACTCTGAAACAGGCTCCAGGCTCTGAGCTGGCAGTCAGCACAGAGCCCGACGCGGGGCTCGAACCCATGAACCGTGAGATCATGACCTAAGCGAAAGTCGGACGCTTAACCAACTAAGCCACCCAGGCGCCCCAGTTTTTTGGGTTTTTGAGTTGTAGAAGTTCTTTATGTATTTTGGGTACTAACTCTTTATTGGATATGTCATTAGCAACTATCTTCTCTCATTCTGTAGGTTACCTTTCAGTTTTGTTGATTGTTTCTTTTGCTGTGCAGAAGCTTTTTATCTTGATGACGTCCCAATAGTTATTTTTGCTTTTGTTTCCCCTGTCTTAGGAGACATATCTAGTAAGAAGATGCTACAGCTGATGTCAAAGAGGTTACTGCGTATGTCCTCTTCTAGGGTTTTAATGGT